GCCGCCATTTTAAAATCCTCGTGGAATGAGGAGTAACGGTAGTTCGAATTAGGATCTTTAATTCGAACTACCTACTCCGTGCTGCGTGTAGCCGCAGGCAAGGAGTTCGGACTAAGGGGGATTTAAAAATGGCGGCGCCCAGGAACATGCAAATGAAGCCCGGGATATTTAAATCCCAGGCTTCATTTGCAACTCCGCTTGCCCTTATTACCCTACCTAGCGCGAACCAGCGTGCTAGTGCAGACATACCCTCGTAGTCTATTTGTTGTGTTTTACGTTTTTCCTGTTACAGACTAACTCAGCTACCCCTATGAAGCTTTTGAGCATAGCCAATGTTTTTTGTAGGCTACTGGCAAGATCTCACAGCAAAGTGCCATTTTGAGCAGCAGAGCAGCAACTCCACCATGTTAGATAAAAGACTGTCTTCCATGAGTGAGCCATCAGGCACCAGAGAAATCTTTTCGTCCTGCCATTATATATGACTGTTGCATAACTAATATTTGACAGGAAGCCTCAATTTCAATTTGTCAAACTGCCATAGTTTTCCTGCTATATATACATTGCACTCTCAAATTGTAGGAACTGAAAGTCCTCACTGTGCTCCAGTGCTGCAAAGCCAGTGCGATTCGCTGGCAGGTGGCTGAGTCATGTGTGGGCAGGCAGACAGACACAACAACAGATGAATGTATCAGTACCTTAATGCCTGAATGCTCCCCCCCTCAGTTAGGTAAAACTTTGCTCCCAACTTTATATTGGATTTGCTTTCAACAGCCTCTAATTACAAGTCTTATATTTTACCTAAAGCTAAAATCTGTGTTCTTAAAATAAGATTTAAATCCCAATAGATTTGATGCTCAAGTGTAAGCATCAATAGAGGGCTAATAGGTACAATTGAAGCTAGTTAGTAGAGAAAATATTAAACTGAGTCATTCTACTTAATTGATACAGGGAGCAGATTTTATTTTACCCTTTGGATACAATTCAGAATGCGAACGGTTAACATGAAAACCTGGCAATAACAATATTTTTTCTACTACAGGGGAATCCTAGTGGAGTAACTAGTCATAATACCTTAATTATATAGATAAATATTGACTAAATAAGAGTATCATACACACAAAGGGCCTGTTTCTCCTCTCATGCCATTTTTGTACTAGTAAAACTCTAAATATCAATGGAGCTGTCTTTACTGACATAATTGTAAAATGAGATTAGAACCATGCAATGTATATCTTTTGTATTTTATATTCTGGAATTTGCTGACATTCTGAGCATATTGCAAAGCTCTTTGATTTTCTCAGACACTCTAAAAGCTTGTCTGCTTTGGGAAATTTCATTGAGCTATCCATGCTAATACACATGGTAATAAAAATGTTCAACACAATTTAGCACTCACTTTATATAAGGACTGTCATGTCAGATGGTCATGGTTCATCCTAGAGTTCTGAACCTGCAAAGATTTACCCATGTGCTTAACTTTATGCATGAGAATAGTCCCATGGGGGGGACACATAAAATTCATCCTCCTAGTGTAGACAAGTCCTAAGGAGGGTTTTGTACACATGCGCAATCATAATACATTACAGCTAGGGTGAGCAAAACATGGCCTGAGGGCCACATCCGGCCTGCCAAACAACCAGATCCAGCCCACCACCATTCTGCATCCCAGTGGGAGAGATTGGGGCAGGCTCCCTGCCTGTTACGACCCTACATGCCACTCAAAGTGTTCAGATGCAGGGGCCACGTGCTCTCTGCACGTTGCGCACCCTGGGATAGGGGACTTTGCACTCTGCCCCTGCCCCAGCATAATTTTGCAGCTCCCATTGGACAGAAACTGGCCAGTGGGAGCTGCCTGAGCCATGCTTATGGTGCACGCAGCGCACAGAGGGCCCCCCACAGGGAGCACAGCACACAGAGAGTACATGGCCCCTGTGGCAAGCTGCTTTGAGTGGTGTATGGGGTGCAGCAGGCAGGGAGCCTTCCTGAAGGTCCCACTGTGCTGCTCTCTAGGAGCTGCCTAAGGTAAGCGCCTCCCTGCCACAGCCTGACACCTCACCCTTTCTCTCCCCCCAGCCTTCTGCCCCCCTTCCCGCACCTCAATCCCCATCCTGCCCTAGGTCACAACCCCTCCCAGACTGTGCACTGCCTTCTACACCACTCCGCCTGGACAGACTCCTCTTCTGCACCCATACCCCTCCTAGACCCTGCATGCCCTACTGTACCCCAATCCTCTGCCCCACGGCACAACCCCTTCCTAACCTACACCCCCTCATGCACTCCAATTCTCTGCTCCAGATCACAATCCTCTCCCAAAAGGTCATAACCTCCTCCTTCACTCAAACTCACTCCCAGACCCCACATGTCTCCTGCATCCCAGTCCTTTATTCTGAGCTCCCTTCTGCACCCAACATCTATCCCAAACCCTGCATTTCCTCCATTATTATCATGGAAGAGGGTGGCCCCAGACCACTTTCCAAATTCTTGGAGTGGATCTCTATAAGAAATTGTTGCCCATCCCTGCATTTAAGGGTATTTTTTTAAAGTACCACCTACAACTTTAAAAATAAATAACTGAATGGATTGCATTATGCCCTGTTGTGCCTCAGGGAAAGTCAAGGTGTATCTGCTTCTCCCAGCAGAAAGTCCTTATCAGCTGATTATCACTTGTGACAAAGTAACACTTCCTAGAAATATTAAATTATTAGCTATAGTAGCAGGCCATGTTGTAGTCTAGTGTTCCTCCTTAGGCTATGTACAGCTTCAGTTTTGTTAGTTTGCATCTTAAGGGAGTATCCATCAACCCTGTTAACTCAGAACAAACATAACTGAAAAACACACCCTTTATGCCTGTCAGGACAACTCCCTACCAAGAGAGCCAGAAGAATTCAATTTATTCCGTTGTTTACTTTTTGCTTTTCCAAGTATTTAACAGAAAACATCAAGACAGGTTACTTCTGCTGGCAGACTGAGTTTTCCTGTGTAAGCACACCTGAGAAACACTACAGTTATCTCTATGTCTGCCAGTAGAGACATGTATATGTTGTTTATCATCCAGTTTCTACATTTCTGCAAACTGCTGCTGTATTTTATGTTTCATCTCACGATAATTTAAACATTAAACACATACACAGAAGTACTATATAGTGCTGCCTGTAAGGTCCTGCACTTGATCTATTTTCACACATTTGTAATTGCTGTAAACAGTCGCTCTAGACTATAATTTGCCATTGAAACCATTCGACCACTCACATTCCTATTGAAGTAAATGGGAAGTTTGCCATGTCTACGCATGAGAAATTTTTAATGGTTCAAATAAAGTCTGCTTAGCTGTTTCATACCTGCATAAACACAGAAAAATAGTTCTTGGGCACTTTCACCCTTCCCTGATTCCATCTGTGTAATACTAGCTACAAGACTAAAATTGTATAAGTCAGATCATTATAGATTTTTATATGACAATTTAACAGATACATTTTAAAACTATTGTAAAATCACAGCAAGCAATAGAAGAACAATTAGGTATTTAATAATCAAACAAATATTTATTAAAATATATTTTTTCAAGCCAACACCCTGCGTGGCAGGACCAAGACCCTAGTTATTATCAGAACCAGTCTTTTCAAAAAGCGGTTTTTAAAGTAGAAATCAGCAACTCAGAGGGTATCTCTAGACTATACAATTTTTTCAAAAAAAGTAACCTTTTTTCGAAAAAACTTCCCCTGCGTCTAGACTGCTGCCATGTTCTTTCGAAATTAAATCAAAAGAACATGGGGTTTTTTTCGACCGTGGTAAACCTCATTTTATGAGGAAGAACGCCTTTTTTCAAAAGTGCTCTTACGAAAAAAGGCGTTCTTGAAAGCAAACAGGGTTTTTTCGAAAGAGAGCATCCAGACTGCCTGGGTTGCAGTCTAGACGCAGTCTAGACGCACTTTTTCGAACAACGCTTTTTCAAAAGATTGCTTCAAAAAAAAAAATCTTTCAAAAGAGGCTTGTAGTCTAGACATAGCCAGAGGCAGTAACAATATTTTTCAAATGTTTTCACCAAGCAAGTTTCATATACATTTATTACAGAAAACATGCATACTTTGCTACTGCCTCATTTACTTGCTATTGTGAGACCATCACATAGCCAATGCTGCTCCATTCACCAAGATTTCCAGACCAAAGTAGTTTGGATAAGCACCCAGAACTCATACATCATGACTAAAAGAGTGCAAAGTTGAAAAGTGGATCAACAGTTAGTTAAACAAAGCATTCTGTCATGTTCTTGATTTGTTCATTTTAATTTACAAGATTAGTTACATTAAAAAAATGTCTACTTTAAAAATTAAGAATTATTTCTATCCTGATGGCCCTCGAGGTTCAGGGCTCTCCCCCCAGCTTTGGGGAGCCCACACTTGCACTCCAGCCCCACCCCTCACCATGGCCCAGTGGGGCTGGAGAACACAAAATCTATTAGCCTGGGCCCCCCAGTGGAATGTGAGGAGTGTCTTTTTCCTTCTCGATCGGGGGCCATGTCAGTGAGGTTTTTGTACTCCCCTGACTGATTTTTCTGTGGGTCAGTGGCCCCCGACCCAAAAAAGGTTCCTCAGCCATCCTCTATAGGGATGCCGTTTTTGGCACTTAGGACCTGAGTGACCTCAGCACTGAACCTAGAACCCTGGTCAAAGAAGCATAATCATTTGTGTGTGTTTGTGCATGTATTTCCTATTGACTATTTCTGTAAGTAACAAATATTGTATACACATTGTATACGCGCACATTGGAGACAGTTTGACCCCCAAGAAACTATAACTCACAAAGTCCTTCCTCAAGGTATTGTTAGTTGCAGATTTTGCTTTGTGTTACAGTCCAAAGTAAGAACGCTCTAAAAAAATGTTTAAAAGATTAAAAAACAATTTTAACAGCATGCTTACTCGAAGCACAGGCTTTGAAGAATGTGGGTAAGGAGACACTGGGGTATAACAAAAACAAAAGCACTGAGGCTTGTCAATACTTGCCATTTAGCCATTTGGAGTTGTACTGTGCAGTGCGGAGAGGAGGAAGACCCCCCAGACTGCGATAAATGGCAGGATCCCTTCCTGGGAAATCCATGGCTGTAGCAGCATATAACTCCCCACTAGAAGTGAGAAGAGCTGTGGAATTGTGTTGGGGACTGTACGGGCAGCGAGCCATGCCACTGATCTGATCGTGTATCTCTGTCAGGTTGCTTAACTGGAACAAAAGCAAAAAAATCTCCATAAGAATTATTATTCAAACAATAACATCAGTGAAGAAAAACACCATGAGTTCAGCAAATGTCTTATTTACATACATGGGTACCAAGCACACTTCTTTCACACCTTTTTTCCAGACCCGTGTCAGAGATGTAATTTATTTCTAGTGACACTGATACCAGCAGAGCTGATGCAGGCCTGGGCACGCTCCTTATGTCGGGCTCTCTGATTTTCTGCAGAGACGTCGCTTAATCTCAAAGTGTTGGGCACCATTCTTGATGGTGGTCCTCCAGGTTATCCGATCCTTCACCTGCCTCTCCCAAGTGTCAGCGTCAATGCCTACCCTTCTGACCAACATGCCTCAGCCCTAGCTTGAAAGGTACTTTTAGAGAGGTAAGAGGCTGGTTCAGGTTTGAAAATTGATTCAATCTCTCTCTGCCAATGAGAGGACTAAATAAAGTGAAATAAGGTGGTGTTTTTTGTGATGTGGAAGTGCGTTCACTGTGGACATCTCAACAACTCACACAGGCATCTGATAAGATAGCTCAGTGCTTCTCAATCTGTGGCTTGGTGCCCGTTGTGGGGCCAGGAGCAGGTGTCGGGGAGGCCACCCAGCAAGGCCAACATTAGACTCGCTGGGGCTCAGGGTAGAAAGCCCTGCCACATAAGGTCAAAGCCTGATCCCTGAGCCCCATCGCTTGGGGCTGAAGCCTGAGCACTGTAGCTTTGATGAAGTCCTTGTGGCATGGGGCTCCAGGCAATTGTCCTGCTGGCTACCTCCTAATGCTGGACCTTGCTTTATATATAGAAATCCAGTTATTGTGACTCCTGCGCTGTGGAGTTTTTACAGCATGTTGCATGGGTCTCAGAAAGAGGTTGAGAACCCCTGAAATAGATGATACTTTCAGTAACTATCTAGGGCTGTATTGAGCTAACAACCTAAAAGTGAAATTTCCCATTACTAATCTGCACATCCCCTTAGCTGTTTTGTTTCACAATGGCAATAGTGATCATTTCTGTGAACACACAGAATCAATTTATTTACTCATACCGTTCGATTGGTGCAAATAGGAGTAAAAGCATTGGTTCCACAAGTGAAGAGTCGGTCACCGCCCACAAGAAGCACACGGATATAGTTCTGGCATTCTTCCTGTGATGCAGAAAAGAAACAATGTATTTAGCAATGCTGCAAAGAAGAAGGAGGCCATTTAAAACTTGCACATCAGAGCTACATGACCACATGTGAAAACTTAGAAAAGCAATGCTTGAATATACCTGATGTATGAGAAATCAATAAGCACTTGCATTGAATTCATAACTCTAGTTAAAGAATACATTCTGTCCTTAAGAAAAGCCCATAATAGGGTCAAATAAACCTGTCCAGTACTGAATACATCTGCCAAATTGATATTTTAAAGGTCCGGTTAATTTTTTACATGATATACACCACTCTGAATAAAAATGTCAGTCCCAAATCAAATGCTATATCTCAAAATAGGCCAGACTACAGGGCGACGGTGATCAATAGGTCACTAGCTTGGGTTTGTTGGAACTGTCATAGATATACTTCATGAGCTAGATCTTCAGATGAGGGTTTGGCTCTATTACTTCAATGGATGATATTAGAAGCATATTAAATTATCCACAGGAGATACATTTCTCCGGGCACAGAGGTTCCTCAACATGACCTCTAAAATGATCTCTTCAAATAACATGTAAGCTCACTCTGTATGTTACTTCGTTTTTAACTATATTACAGCGTATGATTGTTTTATTAAGTATAAACTCTGAAATTGGAGCTATTAAGAGGACAACCAAAACTTTCATGGCTGGGTTCAGGTATGCATTCCCTAGCAGAGGACTTTTTGCTGAAATACTAAAAATCTATTAGAAGTGTAAATCAAAAAGATACAGACACTCCTTTTGCAGCTTGAATTCACTAAAACTCAAGCCAAAAATATGCTTATAAGAAAACAGGTTGCAGACACCTCTGGCTTGAATGAAAGCTTAAGCAGCTTTCAACTTTGCTTCTACTTCTCAAGAAGGTCTTGGGCTAAAGTTTTAAAGCACATTGAAATGTAGCAATGTGACTCCTGATATTAACTAAGGTCATGCAGCTAAATCCACAGTCTTTGAAAAGGTAACTTGTTATCCTGCAGAAAGCACCGTTTTCTGGGCTTTAGCTATAAATACTGACATCAAATACAGTTGTGCATATGTTTTGCAAAAAGGTAGCCATCTAAACGCACTGGAGTACACCATAACATTTGTGGCAATGTTTTGCATTGCATATAGCCACACATTCATCAGTCAACATTTTAAATTCAAAAGAGGAACATATGGTGTCTGAGCTACGCTGAGAGGTAAGGAAGTATTTGTACCACCTTGACTGGCGATGGCTAGAGGGAATGGGATAAATTCAGGCCTGATATGAATCTGCAATTGCAGTGACTTCTCCAGGGCTGTGTTGTAATCACAATGTGGGCAAAAGCAAGGAAGCCATATTACCCTGAAATGAGCTGCAGGGAGCAACTTCACTCCTGATCTTTCCTACATCTATAAAAGGGTAACACATTTTCCTCAGTGCAGCCCCTCCCCCACAATACTTGCTTGCACATGGAATGGAAAATGTACCATTCATTTATAAGAGAACAGGAGGAGGCCATTAGAGCTCCAGAGTCCATCATAACAGCCTGCACCACCATGTAATCCTGCCCTGCCCTTGCAGGATTACAAGAGAAGAGGCACTGGCCAGTATCCCATCTCCCCTAGCTGTGTTGGCGTTAAATTACCTAGAAAAGTTGTGGGATCTCAATCACTGGGGATTTTTAAGAGCATGCAACATTCTATAGGTGGGAATATATTAATCATGTTCTAGAATACCCAATAGTACTTACAATGTAATATCGGATATAAAATATATTTGCATGTGGAGATGTTTAGACTATCATATATATAGTTGCCCAGTGTCTGAGAGTCTGTAACGCCGAAATGCTGGCTGTTCCCTCTGGGGGGCTCTGTTGCCTGAATTGCTGGCTGTTCCCTCTGGGGGGGGGCTGCTGCCTGAAATGTTGGCTGTTCCCTCTGGGGGGCGCTGCTGCCTGAAATGTTGGCTGTTCCCTCTGGGAGGTGCTGTTGCTGAAATGCTGGCTGTTCCCCCTGGGCAGCCCGTGCTGCATGGGGAGTGTGGGGCCCAAACGGCCGCTTGTACCGCTTGCTCCCCCGCGGCGGCCCGGCTGAATGGCGCAAAAGTCAGCCGAGCACCACGGCGGGAGGGGAAGGGGGACGGGGTGGTGATGTGCGGCGTGACAGCGGCTCCAGGCCCCGCCCCCTGGCCGTGAACATCATTGCCCCGCCCCCCTTCACCTCCCGCCGTGGCACTCGGCTGACTTCTGCACTGCTCAGCCAGGCTGCTGTGTGGGAGCAAGCGGCGCAAGTGACCGTTTGGGCTCTGTGCCCCCCATACAGCATGGGGAGTGCGGAGCCCAAGCGGCCATTTGGGCTCCATGGTCCCCCGAGTGAGAGGCAGTAGGGGGAGGAGAAGTGAAAGAGAGAGACAGAGAGAGAGGCAGGAGGCGGAAGAGAGCTGAGAGAAAGAGAGAGGAAGGAGGATAGAGAGACAGAACGAGAGATTGAAGGCTCAGGAGAGAAGACCAACGTGGAGGAGAGACCTGAAAATCCTGTCTTATGATGGGCTGATTGGCTAGTTATTAGATAATATGGGGAAGGGAGGAACAGTTGGGATTGAAACCATCTGGGATCTAAATATTCCCACACTGGTTTGTTTTAAATCTGTTAATTTGTTGTTTGTTTTCTGTGACAAATATACTTTGGAAGATATATGATATTTAACTATAGATCTTTCTCTATAACTAACACTTCGAGGCTCAATTGAAGGCATAAATTCAGTCAAAACTAACCAGTATTTTAAAAGTATACATACAGATCATATCATAGAGATATAGTTTTACAGCATCAACGGGAAATATGTATCTTTAGAGTAAGATTACAAGTCTTAATATATCATTTCAATCTTTACCTTGAATTTTGTTAGATTGAGCTCCTGGAATGTGAGGGGACTAAATCAACTTTTCAAAAAGAATTAAAATCCTGAGACACCTCATATAAAAAAAATAACTACACCTCCAAGTAACTTTATAGCAAGTAACTCATCTTGCAGAAATAGATGCCAATCAAATCAAGGTTTGATTTGATGGGAAGGTGCTGATCATTAATCACTGAATTCTAAGAACAGAGGCATATCCACCTTAATTCATAAAAGTATAACTTTTCAATAAATACAGTCTGTGTCTGATTCCAAAGGAAGATACAGTCTTCTTTAAGGCTGTTTCAACTCAGAAAAGTTAATTCTTGGAATCACTTTGAGGCACGTCTACACAGCAGGGCAAAAGTCAAATTAAGCTACACACCTTCAGCTATGTCAACTGTGTAGCTGAAGTCAAAATAGCTTAATTCGGCTTTTGGTGCTGTCTTCACTGCAGGAAGTCAAAGGAAGAACACTCTTCCTTCCACTTCCCCTACTCCTCATAAAATGAGGGTTACAAGAGTCAGAGTAAGAAGTCGTGCAGCTCACCATTATTTCAAAATAATGGCTTGCTGTGTAGTTGCGCTCTTTGTTATAACATCAGTTATTCCGAAATAAATCTGCTGTGCCTTAGAGTCCAAGTGAAGGTAATGCTGAATTTTTCAAAGACATTGCAGACATCCTTTCTAATGAAAAAGATATTCCTGAAAAACTGAGAGGCAATTGGAATATAACACTATATAGATATCTGGACAAATCCAATTACATTATACACAGCTCTCAAAGCCTAATAAGCTAACCTTTTTTTGTTTAATTATGAACTAGATATGAAGGACATATGGAGAGATATACCCCAAAGATTATAACTATACAAATTTCTCTTAAGTAAATTAATCTATAAATGACTTTTTTTCTTGTATTCTCTGAGGTCATTCCAGCATGCCTAGAAGTAGGCATTGCTAGTATATTTACTTCTGATAATGATCCAATTATATTTGCCATAGATGCTTGATATACATCATTAAACTCTTCTAGGTATCATCTGAACACTCTGCAATTAACAGATGCAAAGTTCTGTTCCACAGTTGAGTCACTGAACATCCCACAAGAAAATGAGCACTCATACCTCAGATAACATCTTTTGGAAAACTCTGAAAGCTACTGTCAGGGGAGAATGCATAAAGTATGCTTCCCAAAAGAAGAAAGAAAACCCCAAATATCCAGACTCTCTGAACAAGGAAATAGATGAGTTGCAGAGAATGCACAAGAATGAGGCAAATAATGTACAAAGCTATCAGAAGACAAAAGATTGAGCAGATTATTAAAAAAACCATGAATTACAGCAAGGCCCCTGGGATAGATGGCTTTCTGGCATATTCCTACAAAAAAAACCTTGCAATCGGCTATCTTCTATTCTTTTAATGGTCTGCACTGAAACATTCACAGTGGAACCATATCTTGAAACATAAGAACTGCTTTAATTACTTTAATATTAAAGAAGAACAAAGATGGTTGCAACATCAGTGATTTCTGCCTCATCTACCTATTGATCACAGATTGCAAAATAATTGCAAAAATTTTAGTAACATGACTGAACATCCCATCAATCATATGCACAGATCAGGCTGGTTTCATTAAAGAAATATTAGCTACTGCTAGTATATAAAAACACTCTCACTTGATCAACAAGCTCAGATGTCAGGTGTTCCCTCAATAGATTTATTTCTAGATGTAGAAAAAGCCTTTGATAGGTTGAATGGCCTTATCTAATCATAGAATACTAGGACCTCAAGAGGTCATCGAGTCCAATCCCCTGCCCTCATGGCAAGACCAAATACTGTCTAGACCATCCCTGATAGACATTTATCTAACCTACTCTTAAATATCTCCAGAGATGGGGATTCCACAACCTCCCTGTGCAATTTATTCCAGTGTTGGACTATCCTGACAGTTAGGAACTTTTTCCTAATGTCCAACCTAAACCTCCCTCACTGCAGTTTAAGCCCATGGCTTCTTGTTCTATCCTCAGAGGCCAAGATGAACAAGTTTTCTCCCTCCTCCTTATGACACCCTTTTAGATACCTGAAAACTGCTATCATGTCCCC